GAAAGCTCACGCACCACGTTCAGGGAAGGGTTGTGTTCCACACTTACTTCACGTACCGGCACATCCGCTGGGTCCTTATGATTGGTGTCAACTGCTGGACGTTCGATGCACAAACTGGATGCTGGCGTATATTTCCAATAATCTGAGTTGGATATTTGATTCAGATATTTCGCCCAAGCACCGTAAGTCCACATCGTAGACGTCCGAAGTTCAAAAATATCGGCTGTGCCGCACACCAAAGACGTTAAATGTGCACGGGACAGATTAAGTTGAGCACGCAAGGTAACGGTCGAGGAGCCTCTCCAGGGTGGAATAACTACCGCTCTAATATGATCGAGATCGTTCAGTAGGTTCATAGACGCTTGAACATTCAAAAGTCCACCGAGAAAATCACTCCTAACTTTAGGATGAATGAATTGCATTAGAAGAGACTGAAATTTCAAGATAGCACTCAAATCCACGGAACCTGAATCTCGCTTACATTCCAGTGCACAAATCTGCTCACGTGACGATCTCACACTTGCATCAGGCTGTGTACAATCCTGCTGCACGGATATGTCGTGGTTTCTGGCGCCGAACATATCCAGTAGATAGTAACGAATCCCGGACGAGCCCCCAAAATATGTAAGCGCGACGGTGACGTCCGAACGCTCTTACTTCAGCGCCAGCCAGAAGTCCTCCAAGTTCACTTCCCTGCACGGTTAAAGTTTGGTTGTCTGACTGGCGCTGACGTAAGAGCGGCAGGCATAGCAGTCGCGCTTACATATTTTATGTTTACAATTTTTTGGTTTGCCTTCGTTTGCGAGTTATACGGCAATACGTATAAGGCTCTTGGTTAAACCGGCCGGTAGAAAATCCGGTCGTTCCTCCTATATCTGTATAGCTCGCGAACGAAAGCAAAATAGAAAAATTGTCACGAGCTAAACATCTTCATTGATAGGTTAGGTATTTATATACAAAGTTTCCTTGAAATTTGTTCTGTAGTTTAAAAGAAATTTCTTGATCGCCGTGAATTAAAGTTTCAAATTACACGGCGATACGGGGCGAATATAAGAAAATGTGAAGTCAAGAATGACGGTGAAAAAAAAAACTCGCAAACGAAGGTAAAATCGAAAAAAACTTTATAAGCTAAAATATCACCGTTTGGTAGTTAGGAATGTATATTGAAAATTTCGCGCAAATCTGTTCAATAGTTTGGAAGAAATTCTTTGATCACTGCGAATTTCGGCCTGTTTCGCATTGTACACGTAACTCACGAATGAAGGTAAAATTTGAAATAATTACGAGCTAAACATCAAAGTTAGGTTCTGATAAATAGGTGTTTCAAGTTTCATAGAGCTGCGTTCATTAGTTTGGGAGATATTACTTGATAATTGAATTTGGAGATTTTTCGTGAGACCGGCCACGAATCCGGCCGTAAATTCGCTCGAGACGTCCTAGGTTTCTAGTGCTGAAACGGTTGAAACAGCTGAAAAGCATATTGTTTCACTAAATGGGTTCTATTTGTGAAATACACATTTGTGTTTAACTTTAACATTTATAACATTGTGTTTAACATTTAACATAACATAACATGCGCCCGAGTAACATCTCCGCATCATCGGCGAAATGTCCATTTTTTATGCGCGACGGTTCGCTCTTAAACGGCACGCGGCTGCGGCGCGTTTCATTGACTGACCGCGCGCGGCAGCGCCTCTATCATAGGCGCGACGTGCATGAAACTCCGGCGCAACTTACATGGCTGCCTCCGACTATTTAAAAAAAAACCTCGGCGGTATATCGCCGAGATTATTGCCTCTGCACTACCATACTGGATATGCATACACATTCATGTGAACGTGCATGCATTTCCAGCATGACAGTACAAGCAAAGAATCTCGGGATATACAGCCGAGGACATATTAAAATGATCAAATACTAATTTCCATAAAACATAAACAAAAGTAAGGTTTTGAATACAATGAAACGATTGGCAGCTGAAAAATGTATTGAAAAAAAACATTTAAAGGTCACAGCATCGAAGTGATAACCGCCCTGCTAACGTTTTATTTGAACTAGACTCTCAGGTCTCAGTTTAATGAGAGACTAATCAACACTTGGCGAGAATTGACCATCTGGTAACAAGTTGTCGGGAGTGTGCAACTGTGAACGTGTCAAATGGTGACAGGAGCGGTGTTGAAGATGACTGCACACTGCGACAATTGGGGGAACTGGATGCCAAAGAGGAACATTCAAACATGAGTGGTGGCGTGCAGTTAATTATGCATGTGCGAAACATTCTAACAGACTAACACATTCATCCGTGCCAATTGGTCTATCGAACTGATTTGCAAGAGTCTATAAAATTCTTTCTACAGTGCTTGTGAAGAATAGATCAAATGCTATCGTCGAAATTTTAGTAGGAACTTGTGACCTTCCTAACATTGCCATATTCAATGGAAAGTTCGGAAATTTATGCTCTAATATAATGCAATTCTTCTAAAATCACCAAATTCACATTACTTCGATTTCATTCTGGTACCAAACCCAACGATACAACGAAAAACAAGCATTTAATTACAATGAACCAGTAACTTGATTACTTACGGAGTTGAACTTGAGACTATAGGATTTCTATCCGTGTTTGTACGCGTTTCTCTTGCAGCGACATGGTGACTGCTTGACTGGTGAAGACTAAGCCTAACCATACAGTTGAACTTGAGTGACCTGGCATTTCCACACAAGGATCCAGCTTTCTCGATGAGATAGAAATTAAAACCTGAAGTATATAGACACGAGCAGCTAAAATAACATGATCATGTCAGCATATACCTAGAGTTAAAAATTTCCATTACTGCCAGTTACGGAATCTTCTAAGCGAAGTAGAATGCCGGCATTATGGCGACGCTAGGTTCCCGTAATGCCGGTAGCCCTGGCGTGTTTCTCAATGAACTCCACTTGCAGAACCATTGTACAGAAAAACGAATACATTTCTAGTAAAGTTCAACTTTTAAAATCTATAATTTTCAAGTCGAATACTTCACAAGTTCACTTTTCCCACTACTATTACAGGATTGCAATAAGCAACGTTCGTCGCTCACGTGTGGTCATCACTACTACAACTTTTGAACTAACGCCGGATGCAGCGCAGCCCACCGGGCAGCTGCGTCAATTCAAACTCGAACGTACATGTAACTTCGTGTAAGCTACTCACTGCCTCAAGCTGCGTCACGTTAAACAGGAATAATATTTAAATATTTAAAGAGGCTAGCAACAAATTTTGCCCTGCGAACATGATAAAGTAACTATGAGGAAGAAGAACCGTAAAGCATTGACCAGGTTTTGTCATCGAGGTTGTTTAAACTAATGACTAAATTTTTTTTAATTCGTTCAAAAAGTAGTGAGATGACTGATCAGAGTTATGTACGCTGTGTATGACACTCACGCCCAGTAACCGCCATTGAATAAAACGATTTTAATTCACTGAAGGAATTATTTGAACCTCAACACGATATGATACAATTGTGAAACTCACCTGAAAATCTTACATTTTTTTAGATCTTTTTTGAATAACTGAAGGTACATTGTTTAATGCCTGTGATCAAGCAATGCACTGTAATCACAATATCAAGCAGTTTCAACCCAACTCATAGCGACCTGAACATTTAATCATATGCATATAGGCCCTGAATGCATAACCGAAAGTTCATCTGTTGCTTTTTCTGCCAATTAACAGCTTACGTATTATTTATGTGTGTTATATGACATGAATTATAAATTTATCTCTTGGAGCTGCAAGCATTACTTTTCTACTGCCACGTACTTATCAAGTATTTTCCTGCTCTTGCACCTCTTAATCATATTTCCATGCCTTCAAGCACCCTGAGGTTTTTGAAGATAGCCAAATAAATCCAGATATTTTTGTCCTATAATTAATGTAATTATTATCTTACAACACGTAAGCTTAAAAAATTGGTACAATCAATTCTCATTTCGTTCCATCATATGCCTTGACAAACGTACGCATGAACGTACATACATCAACGCAGAATGAGCATTTAGTCGAACTGTAAGCATTCAAATCATTTAAATTGATTATGAACTGAGCTCACATTCTTTTTGTCAGATAGAAGAAGTATTCCATTTAACAAGAAAATGACAGTGTTCTGAGATATCTAAAATGCAATGTCTCTGTGTAAACATCGGTATACGATATCATCAACGGTCTTTTGTTCAACAGGAGTGAATGTCAAAGTTCAAGTTTAGGTTCGAACACCAACTTACGCAAGTACGTTTTCGATTGAGGAATCGATTATATATATATATATATAGCAGCCGAAACATGGTCGTAAGTAGCAGGTGGCCCCTCGTTTGTAAACAACCTTAAAGTCTCGCGCAAATTATCGCCGATGGTCGCAAAGCGGCCCGTCCATCGCCTCCCGCCGACGAGTGTAATATCGCCGAGATTTAAGAGAAGCGGCAATCTGCCGTTGTGCGCTCATAATCGCCCTCCACGCCGATGAACAACCGCGCCACGGCCTTAAATTTTAACTGGGTAGTAGCGGCCGCCCACCTCAGCATATAATTGTATGTTACTATAATTGCAGCTCTATTTTTGATTAAATGAGTGTACTGAAAAAATTTTCTGCGATTATTTGGGCGTTCAACAGGAGACAGAAATTGTAATTAGATTATTGATGCAGCTAATTCATGAGAATTTAGAAAAAATTATATTTTCGTAACTCACTGTCATCTTCATATATATCTATTTTCTTCTTCATATCTTCTTGCACTTCTGAATGATTAATAAAAACCAATTCCTTTGATTAAAATCCCATAAATTACAATTATTTTTCAACTCATTTTGCAAATTCCATAATTAATCAACATACGCGCGATTCCACCTCGTTTGCAATCATAATTATTCCCCCACCCCCAAATTAATTACTGATATTTAGTAATGCGTGCACGAAATGCATCTTAAATAACAAACAAATTTAACTTTTATTTTATTTGTACAGGTTCTGACGCTGGAAGGCAGCCAGGTGGCCACGAAAACTTACGTTAATGTACGAACTGTGAGTATTGCAAAGTAATCAGGGTAGGAAACTGTAAATTAATGAGAAGGCGATAATTACCCTTTAGCAATCATGGTTTTAACATCAAATTTATTTATTCAACATGATATTTTCCTTGAAATTATTTGCAGTTTTTAGCCGCATGAGATACTTATTGCATTTACCGTATGAAAAATTTGTTGCAGTAACATTTAAAAGGTAAAATACTTGACTAGCGTAGTATTATTTTGGCATGAAATTTGAGGCAATCTTGAGAATTTTTTTCAATATTTTATCAGTTTTTAGCGACACATCGGTAAGCAATTAAATGTCATTCAGAATAATGATTCAGTTGGGTAATAAGCTTAAGAGCAGTTAGAGTACCGCCTGTTATAACAAACAAGTTCCTGGTCATCAGTCCAACTCGTCCTCAGGGTGTGGTGGTGATGCCTGGGCTGGAGTCTCAGGCCTCCGACCCTCCGATGCAAGGCGCGCAGATGAGGAGCAGCTCTTCTTCTTCAGCTCGTCCACCGAGATCTGACATTCAACGCCAGTCTTCATCCTCTGCAACTGCCCTTCTCCTGAGTATGGGGACAACATCTTTTTCCAGCGCAAAAAACTCTCAACAGGTGACGATAAATCCCAACAGATACAAACAACCCGCCTTCAAGGGTTTGAAGGAAAAGAAAAGAAAAAGCCCCGTTAAGCCTCCAAAAGTAGAAAGCATTAACCATTCTGTCATGCGCATGGATATGAAAACAGGGTCCACTTCCGACGAGAGTAAAGGTAGACGCTATCGTCGTTACACTTTGGAGTCAACCTCCACTAACAATAGTGAGATTAGCAGGACATTTCAACTTTTAGACGAAGGGGAAGAGAAAATCCAGTTAAGTGAACGATACAGGAATATAACTTTAATATTAGGGAATACAGGAGCCGGAAAGAGTACGTTTCTTCAGTGGTTCGCTGGGGACAATGACAAGTTGATAGCAAAAGAAATAAGGGCGGGAACCGGAGAGTACCTCATTGATGATGACGATAGAATCGGCAATTCGACAATAAAGTCCAAGACAATTTTTCCAGAGTTAGTAGTTCACTCTGAAATGGATGATGCTTATTATGATTGCCCTGGATTTAGTGACACGAGAAGTTTTAGCATGGAAATTGCCACAACCTATTTTATAAAAAAAGTGGCAGATTTTGCTGAGCGAGTTAAATTGGTCTTTGTTGTTAGTTATCCTTCGGTTAGAAAGGGTGTAGATAGACAAGATTTCATGAAATTACTCAGACATGCTACTGATCTTATTAATGATATTGATAAATTTCGACATAGCATAGCCATTATGGTAACAAAAGTTGATAACATGCTTATTAAAGTTGGTAGTGACTATAGTTTAGTGCCAGATGAGGTCGTTATTGGGACCATCGGCGACTTTCTAGAGGAGGTCAAGCAGGGGCTCGTGGAGCGATTAGGCGGTGTGAGTGTTCACGATGAACGAAAGAAATTTTATGTGCAAGCATTAAAGTTTGTGAACACTTTATTAATCAAGGATGGTGAACAGTTTTTGAGGATTGGCATGTTTAGAAGACCAGATGGGCCTGGCCCACTGAGTAATATTACGCTTTTGCAACAGGGGAAAGAGCATGTAGGAAAAATAGTGAATGAAAACCTCGTATTTGTTACAACGAGCGCTGGAGATTTTGGTTATACGATATCTGATACGTCCAAGGTGGATATTGGCGAGCTCATAGAAGGAATTAACAACAATGTCTGGTCAAATCTTCGAACATTCTCAGCGCTCATGCAGGATTATTATCTTCATGTAGTAGAGGAAATGCGTGGCAAGATACGCTCTTTTTCTACCGCTACCGAGGCTGATGATGTAGATCCATCGCATGCTCATTCATTTTTTCAGGATTTTTATTCCGGGCATACTCTCACAACAAAATTAATGGAGGAATTTAATAATATAACACCAGACCAGTTGGCTGAAAAGATCAACAATAGCTTCCCTAACATAGGTACAGATGGATTTGCTCAGGCTATGCTAATTATTGCACAACAAGGGAAGTATTTCGAATTTTTGCAGGTGGTGAGTGGTAGCGTAAAGAGAACTAGGGCATGGGGTGACTTGTTGCAGCCCGTTGCGTCCTATATCTCTGACTCCAAAGAGGGCATTCACAAGGATATCAATGATGCCGCAACGAAAATAATTTATCAACAGCAAACTAACATATCAAGTATCGCGAATAAAATTAAGGAATATTACCAGGGCCAAATACGTTCTACGGAAATTCAGCAATTACTAATTGAATTAGGTACAGGTTACACTTCCATCCTGACTTTAAAAGAAGAAATGGAACGTTCAACCACGCTGGTAACATTGTCAAGGAAGTTGCGAGAGATCTTCTCCTGTGCTGATATCTATAGAATCAGTCGCTATATGCACAATTTATTTGATTTGGAAAAACACCTGACGTTTTTACAAAGTATAAGCGATAAAAGATTAGACACGCAGTTAGCGTCTCAATTGGTAACTCCGCTCCATGAAGCAGCAACCTATATCAAGGAATCATATGGATGGTATGAATTCTTGTACAACTTGTACGAAAAATTGTCAACATATGACGTACAAGCACATAGAAGTAGATACAACGTAGCCAATATTGCTGACTGGGGGCAAGAAGGTAAACGTCAAGGAATCTCTATTACGCATCACAACTTCAGACATTTCTTGGTTATGTTAAAACCATTTGATGTGATTGGACATAAAGACATAGAAAATATAACGGTCGATGATTTGCGCGTCAAGGAATTGAGCCTAGTTACGAATCTGACGATGAAAAGATTTCAAGCATCATGCCAATCAAATAAACTCACTATAAAAGGAGATTCCATCAAATTTAGTGAAGCAATATTAGAAATTGCGAATTGTAAATGCAACACCGTTGAAATATTTGCTCTGAACAAAATATTTATTGACGAAAATTTAAATAAAATAGGGGAAAAGCTCAAACTTACCATGATAGCCCCGACATGGGAGGTAATAGGTAAAAGAGTTATAAACTTAAGTGGAGCTGACGGTCAGCTGCATAATTCCACGAAGGCAAGGAACGGCAGCACAGACTGGGAGAATTACAGTCCTCGTGGAGCTGACGGTATGCCAGGCTTCCACGGTGGGCCGGCTGGCAGTTTTTTTGGCATTGGCACAACATTTAATAATGGGAATATGTTAACTATTACTGCTAGTGGTGGAAATGGTGGAAGTGGTCAGCATGGCGGCGATGGGGAAGATGGTCGTGAAGGGAATTCTCCCTTAAGAAGTTTTCGCAATTCTAGGTCAGAATGCGCCTGCTGGGATGTATGTACTCGTAATAATAGTTGGTTTTTTACACCTGTGATGACACAGTCGGTTTTTTGCGACTGTGGCGCCAATAACTGTGTTCACAACTGTGATGAAGAAAGCCGGGTAGAGATGTCTACAATTTTTTGTCTCAGTCTAATGTACACAATTCGCATTGAAGGTGAAGATGGCACAAATGGTGGAGATGGTGGGGATGGAGGACCAAAAGGACTCGGGGGTAAATCAGGTGATATTAAGATAGTTACGTTGGGTGGTGATTCAAGAATAACAAGCATTAATAATGATGGGAGAGATGGAATATCAGGCAGAGGTGGTCAAGGAGGAGCTGGTGGAAAGCGTGGGAATTCCCTAAAAGTGAAGTGCAGAGCCTCTTACTGCTTTTTCATTCCAAAATACAGTTTCCTAGATGAAGAAGAAATAAATGGCGGATACACTCTTCCTGGAAGGAATGGAAGGGATGGAGATAATAGGACAAATATTCAAAGCCCAGAACCAGCAGCCATCATTGATTTTAAAGCGGAGATTATCAACGACTATAAAAATTATGCGAGAGAAAACCTCCAAGTTGATCGTGGTGGCCTCATTAGGAAAAATGATCTCATCCAATTTTTCAGTGAATTGGACATTAGTAGTGATGTTAAACGCTTGTATGATACGTCAGGATTCTTAAGGGAGCTTCGAGGCTTAGAAAGACAATTTCATCTATTACAAGAGAAAGATTTGATATTCTTTTATGAATCATTATTAGATAGGATCAATGCATATGCAAATGATTTTACAACTAAAGAAATATTGAAAGAACATAATAAGACGCTCGCCTATGTGTATACAGCTGTTTTGAGTAAGCTTTATGATTTGAAAAGCGATTCAGACGCAACTTTGATCATAGATATAAAGGGATATTTTGATATAGTGAAGACTAATATGAACGCCTTGGCAAAATTACAAGAAAAATATAATAAGGTGAGCATATTAAACGATTTTAGGGATCAATATAAAGTCGATATCGACAAAAAAATGGAAGAATTTAAGCGTTTCATCGTAGAAGAGATTACACCTGCCATAGATCAAATGCACGAGCAGATAGATGATAAAGTGGACCTGCTACTGTCTGAAATTAAAGAACTGCAAAAAGAGGCTGACAACAAGAGGGTTGAGTTACTCAAGAAGAAGAAGGATTTAGAACATGCATTAGTTCTTTCTGACCTGTTTGGTAATTTAAAAAGTGTATGGCAAGTAGCAGATATGTTGGGAACTGTTGGAGAGGCACTGAAGGGGCTCATAGGAGCCTTAACTTCGGTATCGGACGCTTTTGTTTCAGGCAATCAGACCGCGCAACAACATCCACCATCTTTGCCTTTGCGTGTTACGGCTGACCTCCGGCTGTTGGAAGCTCAAGTCAAAAGTACCAAGGACAAACAACTGACGAAGAACAATCAAATATTAGATTACATAGGTCATGAAATCACTTCAAATGCATTGCTGAATGACATACGAGAAAGCCTACACAAAATTAAAAGGGGTCAATTTCCAATTCGTGATGCTAATGGAGCACCAAATCTCAAACAGTTTTCAGGGGAGCTTATGGTCAAAATCAAGAAGTTACTATTAACGAAAGAAAACGAACTGAGGACTAATACAACAATCGATGAAGAAAATGCAGCACAGGCATTAGGGGCCATAGCTAAAGTTCGTCAGTTGATCCAGATTAGTGAAGTGAGCACTGACACGTATGTCAAAAACAAGGATGATCAGGCGAAACTTGATGCGCTGAGCAACGCTATCCAACAGGCAGAAGAAGAGCACAAGAGGCTTAAGCAATATGAAAATAGAATTGAAAGTACATTAGCACCAACCTTAGAAAATATGGATGAATATTTCAACGAAATAGACAGCAAGCTGGTTACAAAATCTCAAGTTGCGCTTGACGTAAACAAATGGCAGGTTCAGAGCGTGCTCAGAGACATAAAATTATCCGTGCATCAGTTAACCAAAGAATTCCAAGTAGGTGAAGATTTAAAGCGTTGCATTGAAAAGTTGGAAGAATCTATGACCACTTTAATCCAGATATATGATCGCATCCATGAGTACCAGGATCAACAAAACTTAGCCAACTATATTGCAGCCGTCGCCGCTTACCATGGTCCTGATGATGTTGATCAAGTTGAATTAGAAATAGTCATTAGGTCTAACCTTATACTGAAGCAATACAAAACAGCTGTTAATGCATTCAAGCAGTGGGTGTTCCCGTTTGCTGGTCTTTATCTAGAAAGGTTTGTGTTTCCATCCCATCTTGAGTTTAATTATGGCAATATTGAAGATTTGGCTACAAAGGCCATAGAACAAATAGAATATATAAAAGCCCGAATAGATGAATATATGACCATCAGGATATTTTATAGCCATCACGATTCTTCCCATTCGTTTTTCGTATGGAGAAATGAGGACCACAAAATGGAGATAAGCAAGCTATTGTCTGGCGAAGCAATAGTAGTTAAAGCTGACATAAAAGGCAGTGCACCAGACAAAGATGCCATTAAGTTCAATTTACTAGAAATCAACCTCAAAGTAACTAATGCGACCAGGCAGCTGGAGCTAAACGATAAACTTAGAAGCTTCAAGGTTAGTGCTACCCACTTTGGTAATTCATATTATAGGTATGATGATAAGTTGTACGTTATAGGCAGTCTTAGCCAGAACATCGAATATTCATTTGAAAAAGACGTTAATGGAGTACCAATACATAGGAATCAGGTGTATAATAAAATCAAAGCAGGTGATTCCATGCTAAGTCCATATGCTATGTGGAAAATTCAGTTAGTACAACTCAATCATGCGATACCTTTCAATCAACTAGTGATGTATAGAGATGAAGCTGACTTGGAGTTAGTAGGTAGCGGTTGGTATGTTACCAATAGCGCTGGCATGCCAAACCTGAATGTCGAGAAGTACTATAGAGCAGATGATGCTTTGTTCTTCATTGACTATGATATGTACGATCCATACGAGCTCCTCGAATTAGGCGACAATGACACATAATGTTTCCCATTTTTACGATATGACATTATCCCATTATTATATGATAATTTTTTCCCATTTTTTGAAGGTTTGACCTTAGACAAGGACCTATCAGTGCTGCGTTTGCTCTATCCTCGTGCTGTTGGTAAGAAAGTGCCAATATTTGGAAAATATGACCCGTCTACTTTTCTGAATGTGCGCTGGGACTTTGCTACATATCTTTGCAAGGTTGACAAGATTGACCTCGGGAGTCTACTGCTTGTATAAAAATGACGGTTCCTGACAGCATTATGATTTACCCAACACTGACGTGTCACTAAAATAAAAAGCGGGCGTGCCAGGGTAGGGCAGCAACTTGCAGTGCCCCGAATACCGCGCGATTGAGGCTAGGGCAGCAACTTATAGTGGGCCGAGTATCGCCTGAGCCCGACTAGGACAGCAACTTATATAGTGGGCCGAGTATCGCATGAGCCAGGCTAGAACAACAACTTGTATTGACCGTGTACCGCACGAGCCAGGCAATGGCAGCATCGTAGTGACCTAAGTACCGCGCGAGCCTGGCTAGTACAGCAACTTGAAGTGACCCAAGTACCGCGCGAGGCAAGCTAGGGGGGCAACGCGGTGAAGTGACCCGAGTACCGCGCCAACCAGGCTATGGCAGCAACTTGGAGTGGCCCGGGGCCATACTTTCAAAACTCGCTAAGTGAACGTAAGTACTTACACTCTATTTTCTTGCTTATGATTGGTGAACTTTGCTCGGAAGGCCGTCAATGATTGGCTGATGAACTTACGATCTCTTAACTTTTTTTGAAAGCATAGGCCCCGATCAGTACCGCGCGGGCAAGGCTAGGGCAGCAAATTTTGTGAGCCCGAGTGCCGCGCAAATCATTAATTGATGAACTGATTTCATTTGAAGGTGATGTTACTGATGATTGTGTCATTTGTCGCACCGATTAATAGAATTCTAGCGATTAACATGACTTAATGCTGATAATTGTAAAAGATAGACTAGGGCCCTCAAGTATAGACATAGATGATATTCTAGCTTCATTTTAATTGCTTTATTATTGAATATGTATTCAACAATGAATGTAATCGTTTGTGTCCGTATAGTTAAAAATTTGAACCGTAACCTAAGCTGTTTGTAAGATATTTTTTTAATATACTTAGTTGGATCGTTGTACTTTTGCGGCTGGGACATTGCGCAAGCGTATAATGACTACTTGAGAGCCACAGGTGAAAACGATATCGTGATGTCTTCTTCATTTCTTGAACTAAAGGGGGTGATTTTAAAAGTAACCTTGTTCAAACTTTCCTCTTGAGGCGATACATTTGAATATTATGAACGTGTTAATAATTGTTGTGTAATAATAATTAGATGATAATTTATTAAGCTGCAGACCAATGAAGATCTCCAGCTTTATTTTGGATTTGATGAAGACTACGGAGACGGAAAGTATGTCGTGACTTGGTCGTAAGGAACGTTCATTTATATTTCAATGTGGTTGATGTTATGAAGTACATATAATCTTACATACATGTATTTGTCAAAGTTTTTGTGTGTGTTTAAACTTTATGCCTAGCCCCACATAACTTAGGCCTGTTCGGGCGCGTATCCACATGTACTAATCATGTCGCGATATTACCAGAAGCTTGTTGGAGAATAATAATTAAGAAATTGAGAAACTTTGGGGAAATATGATCAAAAACTGAAATTCGATTTTTGAACTGATATATCATAATTTAAATTAAAAATAATAATTTGATTTAATTTATATAATTTAATTTTTACAATTTTGAAATGAGAGTCTATATAGTGCAATATCCACGTTCAAAGCAGGGAAAACAAACAACGTTGTGCCGCTCTGGATTTGTCAGCCTAAGTATTGCATGGATGCATGAATAGAATATATTGTTAGAAAGGCTGGTCATTGTTAAAATGTAAATTCTTGTCAATATCATTATTATTCCATTGCTTTTGCTCACAGAATCTGTCTCTCGGACGATCATGATTGTGCATTCGCGGCTTGACTGATAGATAGTTTTTGATAGAGGGATAGTTTCTGTAACTTATAGGGTTCTCCCGAATTGTTTCTATTTCTACTTATTCTATTCAACTTTATAGACTGTTGATAACCGCAATAACGAAATTTAATTGGTGTTTCTTCCTATATACAACGATAACATAATTCGGTGTTTAAAGAAAAAAATATATATTGTTTGTTAAACTTGATCGTTATCGAATAAATTTCCTTGTTTTCAATTATACGTGGGTTTTTCTAACCGAATTATGTTTTATTTAGACATGTTTTTCAATGTGATTTGTGATTATGATGCAGTGAGAGTTTTTATTGTTAATCCTATGTTATGGAATCGTATCCTTCTTATGATCAATCAAATTTACATTTTAGTGCGTTCAAGGAATACGAACGATAAGAGGCCCTGCAGCAAAAAATTTGAATATTCGAAATGGAAGAATGAGTTTTTTACGTCGATTTATATTTATAGTAGTTCTTTCGATTGCAAACGATGGCCGTAGATAGCCACAAAAATATAGTTGGCTTGATTAGACGACGCTGAGTTGACAATTAACAAGTCCTGACGACGAGAAGTCACGGTGTGTTCATTCAATATTGGATGCATATTGCCTACAAGATGACTAGATTTTTGAAAGGATACAGACCGTGCAGTAGACAGCTTTTGGGCCAACACTTGTATCCTTAGTATTTGTTTCGGACGTAGCAGTCCCAGAGCACGATGGATCGCCGCCTCTGACTATCGCGTATCCACCCTGATTTGGGCCAGCTGATGCTCGATGCTGTTGCCAGCTGCTCGCCGTTGGTAGTGGTGCAGGGCGGTCGATCAGGGATTGTGCCCAAGAAAAAGTCCAGTCGTCTCTTGGAGGTCTCCAGGGTGAACTCACCCTCTCTTAGAACATTTGGTAAGACGTTAAACAGCCTCGGCCATGCCACGGAAAGGGATCCTTCCCGCAAGGATTGAAATCCGACCTCAGATCTGCACAGTCTCCCTTTCTATCGTTATGGTCTCAATACCGAAGGTCTCTCTTTCAAAGTTTGGTGCTATTCCGGTTATCGTGTTCCAGGTAAACAGAATGACATACCTCTCCCGTCCCCTCTGCAGTGAATACAGACCCAGTCGCTCCAACCTCTCCCAGTAGTTCAACTCATCCATCCCTCTGATCCTGGAAGTGAAGGTTGCCGCTGGACACCTTCCGGTTGCCGCACTGCGCCAAATGTGAACGGAGTCCAGAGCAGGCAGCAGTATTCAAGGATAGGTATTACAAGGGCCCTGAAGTGTGTGATCATCGGTTCCACTTCTCATGTTGTGAACATCCGCCAGATCTACCCCAACTGTCGTCTACCTCATGCGGTTATTGCTGCTATGTTATCACCAAACTTGACCTGAGTATTCATCAACACTCCTAGATCGCGAACGAGTCGCTTCTCTTCGATTTCCGAGTTGTCCGGTGTCAGGTAGCGGTGCTCCATTCCAGCTCATCCGGTACCTCTGTATCTCATAACCTCAAACTTGGTCCCGTTGAACTGCATGTTGTTCACTTGGGCCCAGTCATATATTACAAAGACGTCTTCTTGCAATCTCTCGCAGTCCGTCCTGTCCGTGATAGTCATTAGTATCCCTGGTGTCGTCCGCGAATGACGATGCAGAAGCGCGGTTCACTGCCCTATCTATGTCGGCGATATGAATGAGGAAGAGGATTGGGCCCAGTACCGATACTGTATATACCCTGTGGTAGTCCACTCTTCACCCTAGCCTCGCTCGATCTCGAGCCTCCAACAACGACAGCTTGTAGTCTTTCTAGTAGGAAGCCATGGATCCATGCGGGAGCGCAGCCGTGCACCACCAATTTTGTGCACCTATAAGCCCTGAATCGAACGCCTTGGATCTCTCCGGACCTACACCAATCAGCCGTGCACCACTCGGCTTTGGCCTCTTCCGGCCTTGACCACCCCCTGCCGTGCACCACCAGGCCGCGGATAGAATATGACTTCCGGGCATCGTTAAATTACGTAATTTTACGTTCACCGCATCTGAGGTTAGGTTTCAGATAGCATGGTTCTGTTCCAAAATTTATCGTCCTTCGACAAGCGGCCGTTCGAACGAGGGCTGGTTCGACCCACGGCCTAAATACGGACATCTTGAAGTGTTGAAGGCTACGTTCCGGAAGTCAGGAATCATGATGGTCCATTACATCCAGGGCAGTGGTGGTCTACGGCAGGCGACCCGATCTATGCCAACAATTCACCTACGATTTTCAGTAGTCTTGATTTTCTGAAAAGCACTACATTGTCAACTTTGTGAAACGCTCTAGCGAAGTCCATATACTCGAATACTAAACTTACCGACGGTAAATATTCTAAACTTTGTAAAATAAGTACAATTATACCTCGACGAGGCCATTGCGGTTGAAATAAAGTTTAAAGAGAGCATGTGTTTCATCATTTATTTAACCTAGCAGAGCCACAAAACTATACTTATAACCTTACCTTACAACAAATTATTACGATTAACCTTACAATACTTGAAGATGAAGTTTTGTTTTGCGCTCAGATTTTATAGTTATGAATCTAGAGTTACTCTATTGCTTTCTTTTTTAAATTATACCGTGGGGCCGTAAAGACTCATATCAAAATCGAAACAAAAGGAAGCCTGTACGATCGACCATAGGTTGATTGTGGCATCAGAAATTCAGTGATGTCTAGTTATGTAATGTAATAATTATTCATACAATGATGAGCAGACCACGAGCATAAGAAATATCACACCGATTCTTCTCGCCACCTCCGCTTGCCTCATTACCGCCTGATGGTATATATTAAACAAGATGGGTGACGTGGAGCACCCATCTCGCAGACCTCTCGCAGGCACCCAACTTTCACTCACTCCCTCCTTCCCTCTCACCTTGTAAACAGTCGACTCATGCATACTTGAACAGTATTCCAGATATTGAGGAGCGCCCAATCGGCTCGAAGTTAACAGGTTTTGAAATACACGAAGAAGAGGTTCTCAAGCGCCTGGTAGCTCTAAATCCCAACAAGTCATGTGGACCAGACGGCTAATAACTGCACAAAAGAAGCGCAATAAGTGCTCTCATCCAACGAGCACTCAAAACCGGCTCCTCTGAAAATGATTTGAATTCGGAGCTGAAAAATTGCAAAAGAACCTTAGTCAATAATACATTTGCAAATAGAACAATTGACAAGGAAATCTCAAAACTTCGATCGATCCAAAACAGACTCAACAACGAACCAGAGACTAATGCAAACGTTACAACCATCTACTACGAGAATCAAATGACCAGCGGTTATAAAGCAGATGAACGGATCCTCCAATCCATCGTTCACAACAACATCGTGAGCGTAAATAACAATAAAATTAAACTACTGATCTATTATAAAAACAAGAAAATAAACAATCTTGTAATGAACAATAACCCTGCAAAAAACAGGAGTTTTCCAAGAGACCAATGTAGTCTATAAGTTTTCCTGCAATAGAGAAGGTTGTAGACTTCTCCCCAATATGGACTACATCGGGCTCACAACTACGACATTAGGCCGACGTCTCACGTGCCACCTTCAGTCTGGTAGACCAAGGAACCACCTGATGGAAGCTCACAACGAGACCATCTCCCGTACGGTGCTGGAGGAATGCACCAGCGTCGTCATGCGATGCCCCGACGCCAACCGACTCGCGATAGCTGAGGCCCTCATCTTTAAGGGGAGCGTCTACCCTAAAATTGAAAATGTTTACTTTTTCGGTTTTCACACTAATTTTAAAGCTGACATTCTGCCCTATCCAACGGTACCACTGCCATCTCTTTACGTTGATTTATGATTTCACGACATTTCATGAAAGGGGGCGGGTGGGGGAGTTCTTCAAGTAATTAGATAGGAACTAATTAGATGGTGAGCTCTTTATATATAGTGTCTACTTGAGTTGTGCTGCAGTTACGTGTTTAGTCTCATCTTAAAGCTGACATTCTGGCCTATCCAATGGTACCACTACCATCTCTGTACGTCGATTTTTACGTACACGACACAAATTAGATATGAGATAATTCGCTGTCCACCACTACAAATATAGTGTTTTTGTGAGGTCTGACTCAGTGTGCCTCCGGGCTTTGTAGGGAGAGATGCGCATGTAGTTGCTCCCATCATCCTTGAGTGGAATCAAGCTCCAGAAACGTTTAGTTTGGCATCTATGCTACATTGAGCGCATATTGTGGTGCGCGCGGGACTTTGTCGCGCTCTCCTCAACATTCACACCTATTGTCACGGAAAACCTATCTTCTCCTAGAGTTTTGAAGCTACAACAATGAGACATATACCGTTCGATTTGCAAAAGAAAGATCTACAATTCATCGTAAACGTTTTTCCAATTTCGTTATAGTTTGGATTTTATTCCGCCAAAAGGGGGGGGTGTGGGGGGGAAATCGAAAAATTTCCAAACAATTTACAAAAAATGCCGCCACACCCACAAAAATGAGAATTTCAAAAAACGTTCACGATGAATTATAGATATGGTCTTTACGCATCGAATGATATGTGTTTCAATGTTGTAGCTCTAAAACCCTAGGAGGAGTAGGATTTCTACGGTACCCCCTTTTTTGACCGTTTTCTAAGAATTTCACGTTTTCTTTCATTTTTTCGAAAAATTCACACGAACAAAAAATTCTTAGATTTCTGTTTTACATATGTCTACCAAATTTCAAAGTGATCTGTTCGTAAATAGCCGAGATAAATTTTAGGGTAGACGCTCCCCTTAAGGATAGGACGCCAGCCATCAACCTACAAGTTACTGGATTTGTCAGAACCTTGAGACTGTTTTCGGAGTGATTTTTGGTGTTTTGATTTTTGTTCCGCTCAGCAGGTAACGTTTGTTTTTTGATTTCCGATCAGCAGGTAACGAAACAACCCAAATAAAAATTAATGGTGGAGCACCGATGATTATAGGTGGCGATAGTAGATTATAGGTGGCGTAACGGTGGGTGGCCAGATCTGCTGAAAATCGACAATAAAACACCAATAAATCGAAAGAGTGGCGAGTATAGGTGGGAGCCATCGATGAATCATCGATGATTTATAGGGTCTGAAACATCTATGGCTCATTGCAGACAAATCTCTTGTGAGCCACCGATAACCGTTTGCCCAAACTGCACAGTGCACGAAGGTATAGGC